TGAGGGTAATAAATCAGCAAGGAGAGATTCAGTGAGTCAGGATATGGGTTGGTAGGGTGATTGAATACGTGTGCTACACAGTATATATGTCACTGAATTTTCTCTGGGTTCCACCTTTCACTCCTCCTAGTGGTCAGCATTGTGGGCATTACTGGAAACTAAGTTCCATTGTGATTTGCATGGACTCTTAAGTTAGGAAAGTCCTGGAACATGAAGTTTTAGCCGTGATAATGCTTATGGGAAATAAGCTGGGACACTGACAATTTACAAAGCCCAGTGACTTTGGAGAGCACAGATGCTCATATTTACAGTTGATACTTCCCTGTCAGGACAATCAGGCCATGTCCTCATGTACAGCTCTGTTCGCAATCCATTCTGTGTCCAGCCTGTGTGTGGAAGCATAGAAATGAGAGGAAAAAAATTCAGTGTCTGTATCACCAGACTGCCACCAACTACACCACGTCCCTGTCCCAAGGCAGGATCAGTTATGCCCATGGCTTGTATAAATGCCTATAGCTTCTCCAACTGCTCCTTAAATACCTATCTCCATGAAGAGATAGAGGTTCTAAGCCTCCACATTCAGTCTACTCCTGATCCTCCTGCACCTTATTTCTCAACATGCCCTGTCCGAATCTGCACGCTTCCTTCTACATACTTACATTCTGTTAATGCCTACCTCACACTGCTTTTTAAGGACGACTAAGCCTATCTCACCACAAGACCAGTTTTTTTACCAACTTCTGGTAATCCTCATTACTATTCTTCGCTGAAGAAAAGGATATCTTCCTGTCCTGCAGATTTTTTTTCAGCATAATGTTGTCTTTTTTCTTTTTAATGTGGTGATGCCTTATTCTATTATATTTGGTTACTGATCCACACTAACCCTTCAGTGTCTTGTATGAAGACCCAGTCCTTTCCTAGTTATTCTACATTCAGTATTGCCAATGATGCCTGTATATGTGTAATACCTTGCTGTTACTCAGTTTTGTTATTTTTTTCTACAATTCAGCAAGCTACCTTTGGGGTTTAGATTTTGTTTTCAAGGTATTTGTGAACCTTCCCAGACTTCAGTTTATCAATATCTTCCATGGAGGCACTGCCGAGCAATTAAACAGGTGATCCAGGAGAGACTCCTGGCTGAACTCCACTTGATGCCTTCTTCTGGTTTCATAATGTACCACCTAGAACAGCTTAGAAGCAGCTATCTAAACAACTTCACAGAATTTTTATCAAACCCAGGTTTTCTAGCACTTTTATAATAATGTTCTCTTAGACAGCACTAGAAATCTTACCAGTGTCAAAATCTAACAGTATACTGTTTTCTCCATAGCCACAGGGACAGCAGATACCCTACTGTAGCAATTAAGTAGACGCAACTTGCTCTTGAAAAACTCCTACTCACTTCCTCATTATATGCAGAAAGTTTCAGTTTTCTATGGTTCCTGAGTCTGTGGGCTGAGAAGTCACCTCCTTCAAACTTATCTTTCTCAGCTTGCACTGTGTTAACTGACAGCCCTAGGTGTGCATGGCAATACAAAATTTCCAACTGCCCCTCTTGGGGAAGTTTCTGCCTCCTATGTCTGGAGAAAAAAGCAGGTTTGTGGTTTTTATAGTGAGTAATTTCTCCATCTCTGGAACAGAAGCCTGTGAAAACTCCTTCCATGTGTAACTGTCTCCTGATGCTGCAAGCTGGTACAAGCCACAATCAAGGCTCATCCAGAATTTAAGCATTGCTTTGGTTTCCTTCCCTCATAAGTTTTCTGTTGTTTTAACAGCATGATTCTTGCAACAGCTTGTCTCAGAGGCCTGGCTTCTCTACCTGACCATCTGTCTTGCATGACTTGTGGGAAATTATCTCTAAAGCTCTTGCCTCTGTCAGATTTGGTCAAAATAAGCCAGGAACTCTGAATTTATCAGAGAAATGCAGTGGTACAATGATGTTCCCCTTGTTTCCATGGGGAATGATGTCAGTAATCTCCAGATAGAGCAGGCTGAGTGACAGGATGATATATGAGCCAATCCATCAGCTCTTTCTGACATCTTGCCAACTACAGACATTAACTCCAAGTGAGTAACATTCTTGAATTATAGCTATGGTTTCACACAACAGTTATTTCAAGCCCAATCACATTGACTTATCGGGATCAGAAATGTCTCAAACAACAGCTTTTACATGGAGCAAGAGGAACTGTGGTCAAAGGAAAAGAGGAGAGGAGGAGCAGGTGCGAGGCTACTATACAATCATTATATCCCTCCCTAATTTGGTACCATAGTCTTGGGTAAAGAATACTAAAGATTCATGCTTTGTTCTCCCAGACGTACTCACTCTGACCCAGTTTTATGGATTTGTTTTATGGACTCATTCTTAGTCATTTCTTGCAACTTGTCCTTGTTGATTCATGGCCTTGCAGTTTTCCTTTTCCAAGTATCTGCTCTAATTGCAAAAAATCAATTTGTTCAGCAAAGCAATCTCTATCTCATTAATTAATGGTCTTCTATCTAATGCAGTCTCCCTCCTGTTCTAAGAGTCAGAACTGCTGTTATCTGTGTAAGGGAGAAGTTATCCTTACTACACTTCAAGGCATTATACTGGCAGCTGCATTCTTCTCCACAAACACAATGTATGAAAAGGCAAACAATATTTATTTCAAATGCAATGTTGCAAAGTATTACATGCTTTCCACAAATATTCAGTATACAGACTTCAACGGAGATGGAAAAAAAAGCCCCAACACCACTCCTTACATACTATTTATTACTTAGTGACTGTGAATTGGGCAAGTGTTTGCCATCACTGAGAACTAAACATTCTTTCTTAAATAACCTAAAATTTAACATTCAAGGAATAATGGGTATCACACACCAATATACAGAATCTACATTTTGCTCAACGCACTATTGCATCCCACTAATTAAACTAAAATACTAATTGAACCTAAGGACTAGGAACCCACTCACTCCCTGCTGGCAAGGGAAGAAAGCATTCTGGGGCTTTAAAACCTGAGGGTGTGTATACATGACTTCATACTCCAACATAATACAGCCACTTGTGCGCATGTCTGTTCATCTGTACGGTCAGGCCAGTGCACAAACCTCTTTGTATACCAATCACATACTTCTCTGGGTACCAATGTTACTGTGAACTGGAGCCTTAGTCCAAACAGCAGTGTGTATAAAGTTGTGAATCTGGTCAAAACTGCATGTTTTTGTGGGTGCGTATGCCGGGTCCCAAACCGTCTGCCTCAGTGACGATGTAAAAGTGTCATCAGCATTCAAGTTAGAAGATTAACGATGTCTAAATTAATGACGCACTTGTGTTACAAGACTAACAGCGTCTAGATTAACAACAGCTAAAAGTGAAAGTATTTTTACTCATTAGGGAAGAAACAGATAAGAAAGGAATCTGTAGAATAACAAAGCAGAAATTTATCTACCAGTTGTGCACGCTTAGTAGCGCATGTTAAAAGGGCTGAGAGGAACTAGTTTTTGAAATGAACACGCACCAGAGCAACACACGGATTTGCTGTCACAAGAATATATAAGGACTTGGTTTTCTAGTAAACATCGGAGCTGGACTGTTAACCATATTGGGGTGTGTGTGTCTTGTCTCACAGCCTCGTCCTGCAACTAAGGGGGTTCCTGCTACATGTTTTTACTTTTTCAAATAAATGCAGCTTTTGTCAGAAATTCTAAGTTAGTATTAACTTTATGTAAAGTGCAGTTACTACATCTAAAAGTGGTGGGCTGCTGTTACAGTGGAATACTCCCAACCAGTGAAGCTTTGAATATCAGATAGTGATCTTTGTTCTCAGAATCTCCTATAAATAGTACAAAGGCTAGAGGTCAGTTAATAAAAATACAGATCATTCTTGACCTGTACCTGCATTCATTCACTGTTACAGCTGCAGCAGTTAAATGCACTACTGCCATTTTCTGAATGATAAAATTACTTCTTTGTGAGCAGTCAGACTCTGCAGAAGACAGCAGTTGACAACAGGTTGATTAGAGCCCTTTGAGTAAGAGGCTCCTTTCATACAAAATATTAAGTAGGAAAGCTCCAGTCATTTTGAATAGTACATTATGTCTACAGTTAGTAATTTCCTAAGCAAAACTGAAATTAACTTATTTACTATAACATATAATTTAGAAAAAAAAAAAAACCAAACAACAAAAATCTTACTCCAAGAAGGGCATCAGCAAACTTAGCTGGGTTCCAGCCAGCAAACCTATCTATATCAGGACGTAATCATTTGACTTTTAATACCTGAGAAGTGTATGAAACTGAGCATTTCATAATTAGGGAGAGAAGAAGGAAAAGGAAAAAGCAGCTGTTTTTCAGAGTAACAAACATTACTGTACAAATTTTTACAATCAAGTTTCAAACAAAAATTTTATGATCATGTGTTCAAAAAACACCATTCTCTCAATGACAAATCTAGACAAATCTACCAACAAGTGGTATAAGTCTGCATTGTTCACTGAACAGATTTTGCTTTTACAATCTGTCAGTCAATAAGTAGGCTACTTATCTGCTTTGAAGTTGTCAAGGAGACAGTCATATCTCCCACTTACAACTACAAGTGTAACAGCATAAACCTTAGATCTTGTTTTCTAAGCATAAATTTGAATACAAAAGTTATCATCTGAATGGTTTTACTAAGCTTGAAAGTAATTTCACCCCAAAGTTCTCGTTAAAAGCCACTTTCCTATTTGTACTCCTAATATTGTATAGAGTACATTTTCACATTGATAAAAAACAAGTACAACATAAGACTTCTTAGGAAAGCACAGAGGAAGTGGTATTTTCTGGTCTAATACTCAAAAAGGAAGTATCACTTACTAATAAAGGTGTACATTCAAAGCCTTAATTCACTTACAATTCTGATAGTAGATGGAATGTAAGGAGACCCTATTTTCTTCAAGTCTGCAGGTATTGGCAGCTATAAATGCTAGTATTTGAAAAACATTAGATATTTGATGCATTTTGCATCATTTTTTTAAACAGACCCAGCTAGCATAAATTGCTTGCAAGAACCATAGACATACCTGAACCTCAGCCCCAAAGCACAACCATCACTAAATGGATGTAGACATCCCTTATCTTTACAGAACAGCCTGAAAACAAACAGAAAATGTGAATCTACTGTTCTTTTGTACAAAAGCAAGACTCATAGTCACATTTCATTGCTCACTGTCTTCAGCTTGGTTTTTAAGTGGTTATAATATTTCTTCTAAGTATAGCAGAGCACTGGACTATTGTTCACGTCACTTTGCAATGCACTGGGTGAGAAAGTAACGCTCAAATTACATGTACAGCTAGGCCAATACAAGTTTCTACAGTTTAATCACACTGTCAATCCATGCTGGCCTGAGGTCTTACTCAAGTTAATGTCTGCACTTCTGTGTGAGCTACAACACCAAATTTAAGATCAAACACATCTACAGAGGTAGAAAGAGATTTCTATGACATTTCTGTAAGAGGGAAATATGCAGCACACAAATGTCCACAGGTCAGTGGAAATACAGAAAAATTCACACCCTTTGAACTCCTATTTAGTTTTAGGGACTGAATCTTCTATCAGCTATTCCCACATTTATGCTAACTGCACTGATCCAGCTACCCACTTGCAATCCCTTTGCACTGGTCTCCAGTTGTACCTGTGGAAGCAACCACATACCCCATGATCCAATGTGATGCACAGCCAGACTCCCTGTATTACACGCCAGGCTGGGAGGAGCATGTACTTCGAGCACGCTCTTGTGGTCATGTGCAGCCACATCAACATCGGAGCTGAGAAGGACATAGAATGGCATGTAGGCATCTTGGACTGGCTTCTGTTGCAAAAGCCTTAAGCCAGAAATTACAAGAGAATTGAATCAAACACCAGAGATGACCTACTGCAGAACCATCATTCCTTGACACTGGCATTTGGAAAGAGCTTTTATCAAGCGAAATGCTACATTGAAAACATAGTGCACAACAGAGCCAACTAGAGAAGCTAGTGGTTACCTTAGTGTTCAAGAGACTCCATCTTCCTGCTTTCTCTCTCCTCTCCAGAGAGAAGAAAAAACATACTTCCTTTCTCTTTCTATGACACCCTAAGTGCTGCATATCTTAGGAAAAAGATAAAATACAACCATGTTCATTTATCATTATTTAAATACTGCCCGTGCTGAAATGTAAATTGAAGTTCCATCCCCATTCCATGGCCAGCTTCATGTGATCTTCACAGGTGATTTCTTGTGTGCACAGAGGAGTGTGACGTAGGGAACCCCAATGAATGCCCATCTCTCACTGGGCCAGAACTTTATGACAGGGCCTTGCTCAGGAATCTCAGATGCAGCATCAAAGTAAGCAAAGCAGACACAGCCCAGGTATGCCGCAAGGCAAATCAAAATGTGCCTGTGAACAGACCCCCGTCCCCACAAAAAAAGAAAAAATCAGTAACATGACATCAGTAAAACAATCATATATATCACCATGCTTTAAAATCAGTCTGTCCTTCACCTTCTTCCCTTGAGTTCCCCAAGGGTTTGCTGTCTGCCCTCTGTAATGCAGGCGAAGAATACAGAGAATAAGAAAAACTATAGAACCATAGCTTATTCTTGGTCTAACTTGGCTGCAGCTTTTTGGACTCTCTGTACCTGACAGATTTGTGTAGAAATGCTGAGATACAGCACCTTGAATAAGAGAGCACAGTTTTCTGGGTGGTGAAAGAGCCACCAAGCATGCAGAAGGGAAATGTGATGAAGATGTATCACATTTGAATCAAACTGTAGAGTTTACAGACAGCACTTACCATACACAGTGCAAATAGGGGAAGTTAAATGAGGACCAGATCTCACAAAACGCTTTGTCACTGATCCAGCAGAAAAGTGCTAGCATCCACCAAAGACCTGAAAAGAGACCCAGCTTGTACACACGCAGGTTTTCACACCTGAGGAGAAAAACACAAAGAAATTGTTATAAAACACACAAAAAAAAATCTGCTTTGTAGTGGCAGCTTGATGCTTTTTGGCTGTATGTATTTTAAGGTAGGACTCACAGTGACAGGCACACATCTTTAAAATGTTTCCACCATAAACATCCTTACAGAGGAACTTTACTTACAATAAATACGGCTCAGATGCAAGGCAGTGGTCAGGTGCCTTACAATCTATAGCTGTGTTTTGGGTACTGTCTTAAATACCAGTGTGCAAATGGTGAGCAAACATCAAAGCATTCCCGTATCTATGGAAGGGTATCTCAGACAACTAGCGATTAGTTACTGGCTTGTAACAACCAGTCACACAGAAAGTGCTCAGATTTGTTTGGATTTGTCACTACATAAAGAAAAACGGAACTGGATGAGGTCTTTGTTGTAATTTTGGGGTTAGGCCTCTCGGTGCCAGTAGATGCAGTCTGCTGTTACTGCTATCTATAAATCAAAGCTAGACCTGGATGTGACCAGCCCTGTGTGGCCAAGGGAACACATGGCTCAGATGCCCTCCCTTCTGCAGGAACAAAGCTATGATTTGGGATTTTCCCCCATGCCTTTTTTTTGGTCTTGCTGTTGTTAAACTTTTGATGAATTTCCTAGAGATCTCAGAATTGTTCAGTGATGTTGGACAATTCTTGTTTCAATGAACTGCTCTTCTCAGGTCAGTGATAAGACCTCCCAACGCATTTCCAAACCTACTAATCAGATGACAGAATAATTTGTTTAAAGTGACTTGTTTGAACTACAGCTCAAGAGTAAACCCATAAGCCAAATCTCTAGCCAGTATAACCAGCAATATTCAGCCTTCATCAGGGTTACCAGCCCCTGTCTTCTCCTTCTACATTCCTGAAGGAAAACATGTCAATTCCAAGTGCCCCACAATCATTTCCTCTGTCCCAATGTCAAGAGAGCCTCCTCTAATTCACATTCATTTTCTATGTCTTACACCTCTGCCAAAAAGCTGGAAAAATGCCTCCAGTTGAAAAAAATGCCTCCATTCCTCTTTCCAGCAGATCACCAGCCAGACTTTCTCTCTGCTCCAATCCAGTCACCCCAAAAGACCTGACACTGAATCACCAGTCATCTTCTACCACAACTCTTGGGCTCATTTACTGCATCTGGAAGGTGAGCAATGCTTGGCAAACAGGTTCTTTAAAGGGGCACTTTACCTTGTGACACTCAGAAGAAATTAAAATGCGTATTTCTGGAGGAGGGAACTAGAACAGGCAAACACATCTTTACTCTGTGCACTACAGCAGTATTTATGGTCCCTGATCTTCTTTATACATGACTGTCCTTGACAACTAACAGTACAGCACAGACCAAAAAAACTTCTTGGTCCTTTTGTCTTCCTCACAAAATACCTGTCAGCCTAAAACCTGTTTTTCTTATTCGATACATTTACAGAGTTCTAATTTTTCCAACATTTACCTCTACCTGTCTCCATGGCCATACACAGCCTAGAAGCCACAGGCTACCCTGCATTCACTGTCCGGGAAGTAATAATGCGAGCTCTGCTCCCAACCTAAAATTTGTCACTCCTGCACATGTGAGATGATCTTCAACCACTTGACAGAGAGTGACTCCTGACTCTCTGTGGCAGAAAAGCAGAACTGCCACTAGTACTGGCACTTTGCTAAGGGAGCCTGGGTAAGCATTCAGAAGAATTAAAAACAGAGAGTGCTCTGTCCAGGAACACTTTTCTGAATTAATTGCAGGAGTAGCAGTATACCTGGCTCAGGTGTATTGCAAACTAAAGAATTAGTACAGTTTCCCCTGTAGGATTTTTTTTCACTCTTGAAATGCTATTTCAGTTGATATTTTAACAGACATTTGGGATTAAGAAACTCCTAAGGTTGAGCAGAAGGCACCTTTATTAAAGCTACTGGATTAATGACAGAAAAGCTACCAACTGCCTACTGACGGAGGATTTTCTACAATGTCCTTTGAACAAGTTGGTTTTAGGATCTGGCTTTTTTTTTTTTTTAAAGACATCTATAAATAATGTTGCATTCAAAATCATCACACCTATTTATTATTTTAAAAAGTGCTTCAACTGTACTCTCCTCTACAGGAAAGGTATCACAATAGTAGTTTTCATAACAAAAGCATCTACATGACTGCCACAAAAATTAATACTCCACATAGCATATAAATCAAAATGGCTTTTTTCTTTAGGCCTTAATCCTCCAATCCATTCAGCAAACCACCAACACAGAGTCGGAGGAGACAGGATTTGCCCAAGGTGGCTGGCTTCACAATTGTCTGTGCTGCATACTGTAAAAAAGGCTTGTTTCTCTGAAATAGTGTCTTTATGTTTCAAAAGGCTATAAGAAAAAAAAAAAAAAAGAAAAGAAAGCGTAAGGAGATTTTTGAGTTGCCTATCAAGTTCCAGAGCCCAGCTACACAAATTCTTCCTTACACCCTTTTATGAGACACCTCAGTATGAAATATGTCTAAGATTTGGCACAGTTTTATCAGTAAAACTATACTGGTAAATCCTCCTCATTTTGGAGGATTCATACTTGTACCAAATGGCTACACAGCATGCACCCCTTCAAAAAAGAAGTAGTAAAATAACTGTCAAAAAACACTGCTGTATTAAGCATACTAGCCTTAATTCTCTCCCATTAATCGTAAGGCAGATTTACAGTCTTCAGTGAGACACACAACTGTTCGTAAGAGCAACATGCTAATCCATATACCTAAGCAGATACATGCATAAATCAAATCTGTACATTTGACAGACAAAACCAGACCGCTGCAGTGGGTACTAGTGTGTTCTGACAGAGGCAAGGGTGTGTGTGTTGAGAACATGGAGGCCTTTCTGCACTTGTCTGAAGGACGTAAACAAACATATGCAACTGCATCCCATTTAAGGTAAGAGGCTTGACCTCAAACATCCAGCACTTTCAGCCAGTGATGATATGAATATCTGACTAGTTTAAATACTGAGAGGAGAGGACAATTAACCTGCATGGTTCAATGAGTTCAAGGCTACAAAGTAAAACTGAAAGCTTATTTGAAGAAACTTTGCCAGTGCAAGATCAGCCATAGAAACGGTACAGATTGTAATGACAGGTTTGCTCAGTACCGCTATCAGGTGCTGCAATTTATTTCTATAAACTTAAGACTAGATGGTGCAGAGTGTGCTGCAAAAAACTACTCTAAGGCAGGAAAAGTCAAGCACAATGAGGAGAGCACAGTCTACTTTCTGATCTATGCAATATTCCTGAGTTTTCTGTGATCACCTGCAACAGAATCTTCAGTTCGCACAGTGACTGTGCTTCAGATAGGCTGAGGATACTCTTGACTAGGAGACAGAAGACTGCAAAGTTTCCTACCTGCCACTGCTTTTACCATGATGTGATGTCATGCAAATACCTCCTGGACACTGGTCATGGACATACATGGACATTTCTCCGTAGACACAGGCACTGATCATTCAAACCACCACTAAAACAGAAACTGTCAGCTGTTCATGCTACTGTGTGTGGATTTGTTACATGCTCCTACCCTACTCTAGTCTGAAAGAAATTGGACCCCACAAAGCTTGTACTTCCATTTGCACCTCTTGCCTATACAATGCACAGTGTTCTCGGTTTAACGCAAACAGCACTTACTTAAATATCAGTTTCTGCAAATACTGGTGTGCCCCAGCCACTTGCTATCCAAGGGGCAGGACTGGTACACACTTCCAGCAGCTTTATCTTCCACTGTCATGGCACCCTCAATAAAACACACCAGCTTTTCTTCAAATCAGTACAAGATGCTGGGTGTTGATTAACTGCTTGATTCATTTTGACACAGGTATCTCCCTCTGTACCCTAGGAGTATTTTAAACTTCTCACTAGTTTAACCTTTTAGTCAAGGGAATAAGAGAACTGTGAGCAACCCGTGACAATGAAGCAGGGCTCACCCACAGACAGATTTTAGTAGGAGAATAAAATATCAACAGACAGACCTGATGTTAGGGTAAGGCTTCACTGCTCAAGGCTCAGATGTCAGCTGAGCAACAGTACTGTAGCATCTAACTGCACATGAAGATAGTTACCTGCCTGATGACATCTCACCGAATCATTCTAATTTGATGATGTTATGATCTCAACAGTTATTTACCTTGGATCAGCAAACCAAAGGATCCACATCCACTTTCCTCCTGATACCATCCCCTAGGAGAGCTTTTATTCTTTGTTTGTTTTAATAAAACATATGACGGGATTTGTTTGGACAGAAATGAGAATAAAGTTTTATAATTTATTTCTTTCAAGGACAAGTATGCACTTAACTACCTTTTGCTCTTTTTATCATCTTCCATATACAATACTTCCTAGCACACACTCCACCCTACCAGCTCCACATTTAAGAACATAATGATCTTTTGTGACAATAATATCTCTTCATCAAGGACAAATGAGAGGCAGAAAATTCTCATTTGAAAACACAGTGGTTCTGATGCACCAGAATTCTGTACAAGATTGACATCAGCCTAGAACAGAAATAACAACAGGGAGTTTTGGTCTAACACATTGCAAACTTCAGCACAGAACAAAAGAAACTACTCTGGAGGCTTTTCTCCTTCCTTCACCAAATACCTGTTTCACAGACAAGTTTCCACTGCAGACCACCATGACCGGCATGCATAGCCCCCTACTGACTGTAGTAGTAGAGAATGGGAGAATTGCAGGCATTTTAAATAATGCTTAGATTATTTTTTCTCCTGCAAAAAGCAATGAGACTCCTCTCCTCTGGATTTACAAGAATATAACTCATTTAAATATGCTATAGATCAGCACAGGTTATAATAAAACCTTTAATTATTTTCCATTTAGACTTAGGAATTAATTTTAAAATGTCACAGGAATTACATCATCACAATGCATAATTAAGAGGGCCATATGTCACTTTAGGTTTCTTTTTAATCATCAGTTCAAAAGAAGATTCATCTGTGTCCTTAATTCTCTCTCAAAAAAAAAAAACCCAGACAGGGTTTCAGAAGGAGTTTTAAAAAGCAAGTATCTGTAGGCACACCAATTCCTAGATTTGATGCAACAGTATACAAACGTATACTATTTGTCCTTTTGAGTTTCTCAGTAGCTCATGCCTGGAAAACTGATACGTAGAGTTCACATAAATTATTCAGTGTCACAACCAGATCTCCATTTGCCCTGCCAGTAGTTCCTCAGTGTTTTCATCAAAATGAGACACCTCCATCAACATTCTTCAACTACTGACGTACTTGTCTACAACCAATTTGTGTGCTGTTTCCTGCATTTCTTTGACCACAGAAATAAACGCTGCTAGCAGGATGTCTAATGTGAAGAGACTCATGACTACCTTTACAAAACATTTTTAGCAGGGTCTTCCACTAGGAGAAGCAGTAGCAGAATAAGGTAAGGTAGAAAACAGGAGAATCTCTGTTCTATTACAGGAGAAGTCAGAATGCAGACATTTGGTCCTACTCTTGTTTCTGCTGATGGATGTTTACATATGCAATATGTAAGAGCCAGCATAACTTGTAAAATCCTTCTCAGACACTGGAGAAGAAGCAGGAAAGGACAAGTTTGCATGCTGTGTACTCTTCTGATCCTTTTTGCAGCAAGTCAATAGAGGCAGAAAAAAAAGTTCCCCGACAGCTGCTAGTATCGCTATCATGGTACGACTCTTTAAAATGTTGAGGTCAGTGTCAAGTTATTCTCTATTTGCATTCTGGTTTTATAGTTTCTAAGGCCCTGACTGATAGCTATCCTCTACAACCTAGTGATTAACCTTATCTTTGTCAACCTGACTCCATCATATTACCCATGTCAGCAAACAAAGTCGTGTAAGGCTCGCAGTACAACTTGGAGAGCTGGAACATGTTCCACCCATGCTTGGACCTTGCTCCACATTCCTTCTAGTACCCAGACTGTGATCACGCAATCACCTCACCCTTATGCAGACTATACAGCAGAAACACTGTTAGTAGAGTGAAACCCTTGCCCTGATTCCACAATAAACAAACAAATTTGAGTTGGATCAGGTTGCAGCAAAAGATATGCTGTAAGAAGACAGACAATATCTGATGTAGTATAATGGCCTAGGAAAAAAAAACCCTTGCCAAAAATGTATGAACAAGCAGAGAAAGTTTACACCAGATCTGTGCTTACATGCAGGAGAAGCATTTCTAATCTGCTGTCACAAGCACTGAAGTCAGATCTAGTGTATTGTCACCAACGGTGGCCTAAGGATCTCAGAAGGCAATGCTGCTTTCAGGAGAAATGTACTCACCTCTTCAACTCAGCGATGAGCAAAGCTGTGCAGGGAACACCCAGAGTCATTAGTGAGATGTTGTTGATGGCAGGCTTAATGAAGGCGAGGCAGGTAGTAACTCCAGACAGGACACCCACAGCAGCTTTAAATCGGCTCCTGAATAGGTTTTGGGGGGGAGAGAAAAACTGCTTTTAATTCAAAACTTTAAATTAATAAAATGAGAAGTCTTAAAATTATTTTAATAATGTAACAAAATTTAGATTTCTTTAGGTGTGTTCAGGAAGTGCAATGACAATGTGTGTGAAATGGATGTGGATCTTGCAGATTTGCATATGCATGCAGTTAATCATAAATACACAAATCTTTGTTGGACTGTGGTCTTCCAAAGCAGCTGTCTGGACATGTCCATGCAGTCATGTATGTGTGCACACACACACACACACACTATTGACTGGTCACAAAATCCAAAGGCCATACTCTGATCTTCCTCCTTTCACAATAACTCCATCTCTGCACACAGCACTCTACTTCCTCAGAGCAGTGTTATCATTCTTCATGCTTCTGACATGGATTTTTAGGATATTTTGTTACTGTTAATGCCCCAACTTCTAGAGTCATGTTACAGTCTGGTTTATTTTCCTTTATCTCTTTTAAGCCTTAAAGATACTGAAAACTATGAGGTAAGTAAGTACATTTCTTTTAACCAAATTCAACAGTACCTGAGGGATCCCCACACTTTTTAAAGATTACAGTTTGTTATATTCTTAGCTTAAATGAAACCACAGTTGGGCCTTATACAGACAGTCTGACAACTGTCAAATTAAAAATATGTTAACTGTTGTTTAAACTTCAAGTTTGGATTTCAAACAACCCATTTCTAGTCTGTGGCTGGACTATGGAAGACAGAGAATCATCACACTGCTTATCAACTGCTGGCCCACAGGTCTATAAAACTAGTTGCTGTCCAAAGATGGCTTCTCTGTCCTTAATTCTATGTCTGAAATAGGGTCTCAGTATACTTGTGCAGCACCATTCCCTAGCCACAAGTGTCATCACCTTCACCTAGCTCATTTCATCTGCTTTTTGTTTTAAAGTTTTTCCTTCTGCTGGAATGCAACAAGTTACTTAAGTAGGAAGTTCTGATCTGATGTGATTTCCTTAATGACTAAAGACACCACAAATCCTGAGTGTGATGCAGATGAAGAAAGTCAAGACCACAGCAGTGAGCATAAGATAGATAAAATACTAGAGGATGAGCTAGACAAAGCAAAAAACAAAAGATATAAACCCCACCTGTTCTGGGTTAGGGTTTGTTGCCCAGTATGTCTTTCTTCTGTACACTTCAGAAAGGAATCAAGACCTTAACATGTAACTGCCCTGACAGATTCTCAGGAAAAAGTGTTCTGAGAAATTTAGGATAAGGGACATGCTTCACTTCATCTCAGTATTTTTATGAATCAGTTATAACCTGGGAGACTCTTATTTATAGTTTTAACACCAACTTCAGTAGAAACAGGATTTCTTTCCCCAGAAAGTGTTACTATTCCTTTTAAAAAGGATACAGTTTAACCTCTTGGCTCATAATATGAACCTACCCAGCACCCTATCAGAAGATAGTGATAGATGATACATAACAATCCCCTTAGTCTTCTGAGGACTAATTTACATGCAGTCACAGAAATTCTTCAAGACTCTGAAAAATTCCTTATTAAATTAAATGTCTAAAAGTCATGTCATTGACCAAAACACCCCAGTAAAACCTGTTTGCTTGTTAAGTTGACAGTGTCCCGTAATAGCACTGTGTTGCAATATGCAGAAGGACTACATTCAAACCAACATGACAAAGCCATTAGACTGCATAGATTGTACAAGTAATTCAAGACACATTTCTCAGTGCAAGCTAGTGGTCAGTGTAGGCACCAACTTTCTCTACACTCCCCCCACAGCAACTTCTAATTAGACACGTAAAGAAAAAACAAAACAAAACAAAACAAAAAAAACCCCAAAAAAACCCAACCCAACCCAGAAAGTAACAGTATAAGGCAGCAAGAAGCAGCAGCCTTAGCAATTTTCAGAGAGAAGAGCTTTGGTGATGCAATTCACACCTATCCATTATCTCAATCTTTTTACTGCATAAAAGAGCAATATGTACAAAGATTATAGCACAATTTATTTTTTGGGGGTGGGGGTGGGGGGGAGATGACAAACCACAACCAGATTCTTCAAACTGGCTACAACACATTTTTTTTAATCTTGCAAATAAAAGAAAAAAATCCTATTATAACAACAGGCTTCTAAAGAAACACTTTGCCTTTGAATATAAAAACACCATACTTAACCACTGCCTTAAATATTCAGATGAAAATTCATCTGACTTTCATAGGTCCACTTATATGCACCCTTTAGGATATACAAAAGGAAGAGGGAAAGAGGGTTTATCTTACTTTAATTTAGCTTTAACTCACATAAACTACTCATGTAAAGGTCTCTCTAGAACCAACAATAACAGGCACTTTCAGAAGCAAATCACCTCATCCTAAGATCTGAAGTTACAGGGTGTAAACTCCATTATCAGCAACTGCAGACACAGGAATTCTGAGCAAAATGGGCTGAAATACAAGCAACAAGAATGGAGTGAGAAAAGACAGCAGTGGTAGTGGTAAGACTGGATGACTACTCTGTTTCATTATGTGCAGGTTTAGGTGTTAGCATAAGAAGTTTCAAGAAATATGGAAGTGTACATATATGATTACCTGTCATTCCGAAAAATTCGGGGCAGGTATCTCCTAGGGAACCACATGGCAAGAGCACACATCAGGACCCAGAGAATAGCCAGCTCATCCAGCATCTGGCCCAAGAAACTGAGGGTGGCATGAAAGTAAACAGATCCAATTCCTGGAAGAATCAGTCAGAAGGCAGTATGAATAGTTGGAGTACTGTATAGACCATAATACACTGTTCAAGTTCACAACTTCATAGCAATTGGTCCTGAAAAGTTTTTAAAAAAAACCCAGAAAACAAACTGTCAACTTTCCTAAGAAGGCAATCCAAATCATCAGCACCTCAATTATGAAGCAAACACATTGCAAAAGCAGCAGCTAAAGATGCCAGCTCCTACTAGAAAAGTATGTGAAAAAACATCAGGTGGCAAAGGTAAATGGAAAACCAATTAAGAAATAAAAGCCAAATGCTGCTTCCAAATTTTCTCAATAGCACAACAATGGGTAAGACAAAGATGAAAAGCAGCATCTGATGACTACTCCATAATACAGGTTTACAGATGGGAACTGTCACACTACCACATAGGCCTCTGCCACACAAGGATCTGATTACTCCTTTAAAAGTTCCCACTGCTTCCAGAAATGAAAAAGCTTAAGAATCTCATATCTATGAAATAGCTAAGCCTCTGGGCCTTCTCACTACAATGCAAAACCTGTTACCCTCTTCAGCTCTGCTTTCAGCTCTCATTTAAGCAAAAACAACAGAGAAAAAAGGGTCAGCACTGCTGTGGAGTAAGCCCAGACACAAGCAAATTAAGTTATGCAAAGGAAAGATAAGAAGGGAACAGAACTAAGGCCAAAGTTCCCACCAACCTCTGCAAAAGGCATTTTCCTTTCAGAAACTATGGCTGCTTCAGCTTCAAGCAAGTACAAGCAAACTCCTCTGTAGACGTCAGGATTGCTTTATTTTGCAAAACAATCAAGCACAAGCAAGAAAAACTTATTTACTCTCTCAGTTCATGCATGATCAGGCAGAGACTAACCAACTTACCAACCACAACTAGCAGAGTCCATATTAAATATATTCCACTATTGAAGCAGGTTGCATATTGACGGAACAAGCACATACATATGGGTGGTAAAACAAAAAACAAGACGTTGCTTATCTAGGAAAACAAAACAAAACAAAATAACACAGTATCACAAGGACAGAAAAGAAACAAACTTTAAATATTCATAGGCTGCCTAAGATATCTACAAAAACATTGTGTCATCCAGTGAAGCCCCAATTCAACAAATTAAGGCCCTCAGTTTCTGACAAAGTTGAGCTGCTTTCTTGTTTAATGTTATTAAACTAAACAGCATAAAAACTTTAAGCAATGTCACATCTTTAAATTACCTTTCAAGCCTATTCCCAGAGGAATTTTACTGAGATTCTGCAAATACTCAAGACTGTTGCAATTCAGGAAGCCTACAAGAGCAAGCAGCTGAGGAACAGGACACCCTGACAAGTGACTTGTCCTCTCAATGGCTGTCAAGCCTAGAATGGAAAAAGCACAAGAAGGGGTAGGCAAGCTTTGTGGAAATCAAGTCACCAAGCAATAGCTATTGTCTGTGTCCTGGTTTCAGCTGGGATAGAGTTAATTTTTCTTCTTAGGAGCTTGAACAGTGCTGTGTTTTGGATTCAGTAAGGCATTTGGTATAAGAATGTTGATAATTCACAGATGTTTACAGTTGTTGCTAAGACATAAAGGACATTCCAACTCCTCACATCCTACCCATGCGCAGGTGTACAAGAAACTGGGGGGGGAGCACGGCCAGAGCACCGGACCCAAACTGGCCAGTCAAATGTTTCATATTAAGTGAAATCATACTCCGTATACAGCGGAGGGTCAGCCAGGAAGGAGGGGTTTCTCTCTTGCTTCTGGGATTGCGTGTTCAAGATCTTGGCTTCTCCAGGATCACGGACCTGGAACAGACTGGGTATCAGTCAGCAGGCGGCGAGCAATCACATTGTGCATCTACCCATTTCTACTTTCTATTAGTGTTATTCTTGTTTTCTTTTATTTCTATTACTAAACAGTTTTTATCTCAACATCTGAGTGTCCCTACCTCTACCCGTCCAGTTCTCCTCCTGAACCCCTGGGTTGGGGTGGGTGAGTGAACGGCTGCCTAGTGTTTTGCTGCCAGCCAGGTTTAACAGCTATAGCCCTTTCTGGCACACAAACATGGGGCACGAAAGGCTGAGATAACAACAGAGCTGGTCAGAGTGCATTACAATGTATTAGTTATGATCACTCTTTACATTGGTTTAATAGTTTCTAGTCATAATGTCGGTTTGTTGTCTTTTAAAGTTGTGCTGCTTGTTCTTAGTGTTCTGCTTTGCATAACATCACTTGTCTATATAGTGCATATGCTGCTGCTTATTACCCGTGGGAGGTAGATCAAGATTTTTGCTTTACTGTACTATTTGTGGCACGGTAAACTTATCAGTCCTGAGATTAGTCTGGTATCTGTACTCAGCACTGTCATCACCTCTGTACTTTGGGGGTCATCCAGTGGAAAGGGTTAACAATTACACGCTTTATGTTTTCTCCTCAGAGAGCCAATCCATGGGGAAGATGACACCTTCCTTCACCTTCCCCTTCTCCTCCCAGCTAATTAGAATAGCATTTGAGGATTTCAGAAATTTTGAATATGCTTGGAACATTGACACTAATATTGTTAGGAGCCAGCATGTCCCTGCATATGGTTCAGGTTTTGTTCAAGGTTAAGCAGCTATTTAAGAGTATCACTCAGAGATCTACCCCAAGGCTGGAGAAATGCGAGTGGCAGGGGGTGTGGGATAGATAGCACAGGCAAGTACTTAGGACAGTGAGCACCCTCAATGTTTTGGAACTTCACCCCTGAACAAGTACAGGATCCTGAAAAACTAGTAAAATATTTTGAAAAAGTATGCTGTCACCCTGGCAATTCCAGACAGACCACACTCTTAGATGTACTGTAACTATTAACACTGCCCTTTCCACACTAGTGAGGCACATATGCATTTGGTTCTGGTTTCAGAAAGTATGTTGCATGTGCAATTTTTTACATAATACACAATTGGCCTGCATGGTTTGATAATGTACAATTCAAATGCTTATACAGTTAAGATTAGTGCAAAAATTATTAACAGGAGTATAGAGAATTTCCCTTAGGATCTGCAAACGGCAATGATTAAAAGATGGTTCTGGAAAGAAGGTAAGCAGCCCATCAATAACAGCCACCTGTGGCTTCATACAATTCTGGACATTTAGTTTTAAATTCCAGCTACCTGATTGTATGGAGGGAATACAGGATATGGGCCACAGAGGGAACACCAGAGGCTTGCTCAGATCATGACCACCTAACTTCTCTCACATCCGACCACAGTCCTGACACAGGATGTTTCCTGCAGTCCTACCAAAGCTCAGGTATTCTTTACTATCTGGTACATCTCCTGGACAGCAGCTCTAGCATTCAACCACCACAGCAATGCTTACTGGCACTGCCTCTTTATGAGGAGAAAGCAAAATTGGACTAAGTAGCTCTCAGTGAGTTCACAGGGTTTGTATCTTCTATATCCTCATGTGTGAGCATGACACTCACACTGAAAGAGTTCTGTAGTAAAAAATTACATAGAGTATGAGCATTCTCCCACACTCTTAAGACTATCTAATAACTTTTAAAAACTTTTATCTCCATGCCACTAGGGAACAAAAGAAGATGAATAAAGACAGTGGTAATTCCCTTTTTAAATTTTAATTTGACAAGAAATATGTGCTGCATGTACAATCACATGTAACATACTGAACTTCAAAGTACTGACTTCACTAGCAACAGTAAAAAAAAGATTACTCTTTTCAGGTGTTTAAAACACAAGCAACAGCTTTTTTTGTAAGTATCTCTATACAGGGTAAATTCTTTTGGTGATGTGGTGGCATTTGTTTATGTTCTGGAGTAGGGTTACACTGCATCAGGACACATTATTCATTTCAGAAGGAAAAAAAAAAAATAACCTAAACTCCCCAGTTTCCCTATAACTATTCTTTCAATTTGAGTTACAAACTATTTTGTGGCCTCTTTACTGTAAGAGTGTGAGACCTGAACACAAGATCACATCAGTCTAGCTCATGTATGTTTTAAAAAATTAGTCTGATCAATTTGTACAAAACCTCTGAACACATATTCTCTCACTGATTGAATCCTGTTGAGCACTTCAGTTTGCTTTTTAACTAAAGTGTTAAATTTATGCATAACAGGCAAAGATTAAGTCCCACCAGAATAAATACACAGTGTTTTAAAAACACGTTTCAGATAAGCTGTTCCAGTTTTGTGCTTACATGAATATTGCGTGAGATCTCAGCTACAACTCTGACCTCTGCTGTGACAGTTTAAAATACGGATTAGCAAGGTTTTAGCCTACAGCTTAAAGACTCAGATGCCAGATTCAAGTCTGCTGAGGAGTCCTTCCTGAAATTTCAAGAGGGTTTAAGTCAAAGCCAGAGCTGAAGCATCTTAGAAGGAATAAAATTTAGACACCACTTAAGGTGCCTGTTAGAGTAGGGCCATAATTTCCCAAATGTCCTGTGAGCATCTGGCTTTTTGGGGTCACAGCTGCACAACCCCATCAATCCACTGCGAGTTACTGTCTTAATTTTCAGAAGTTGCTAACACAGAAGACAAACCCTTGCAATGACATGTTACTGAAGAGAGGCTAAACATGACTACCCTCAATGCAGCCTCTTTCCTCCTCCCATTTTGGTGTACAGCTCTCTGATTTGTACACAGCTGCCACAATACAGGGGACTTCAGGGCAAACTTTTTGCTGTGTCTTTGTTAACCTGCCTGGAACCTCAGTTATTCACCCAGACATACCTGCAGCTCCTAGCATTTTGCAAGCTTCTATACCACTGCTAATCAGCTCAGTACAGTCAGAAGGATACCGAACCCCTTGCACAGCTGGCTCCAGAACACACTTGCTGTCTTCAAGAAACTTGTTTATCCTGACCTTTTCCTCCCTTTGTTTTTGGTTCTCGCACAGTGACACCAGACACAAAGAAAGCAGTTTCCCACATACACCCTCAAAGTTCTCCAATGGCACAGACCAGCCACCACCCAGATGACTTTGGCAGGAAGCTACAAGAAAAAACAACAGGTTAGCAGTGTGCATCATGCACCATGGAATTACTTGCTCCGTATGTGCAGCACCACCCGCAATACACACTCCAGTGAATGAAGCCAGACACCTACTTCCACTTCTTCCACTGAATCTTAGCATAGCTTGAAAGGGAAAGACAGCTCAGACAAAGAAGGAATTGGA